ATATAAATGTGAATTAGGAGAGAGAGGACCTCTCTTATACTCATAAAATGCGTCCGTACTCTCTCCCATGCTCTCTTTTCCCTATAACTTCAATCATTAGGTCCATTTTTACACTTCATGTCCCTCTCTTCAGACACACACACACACACACTCTCTCTCTCTCTCTCTCTCTCTCTCTCTCTTTCTCTCTCTCTCTCTCTCACTCTCACTCCACTCTTTAGCACACTCAAACACTCTCTTCTCTCTCTCAATGCCACGAAATTCTCCAGCCAAGAACATCTCTCAATCTTCAAATATTCATCTTATAGGGTTGTTCTTCAAGGTAATCACGAAAATCCTTCATTTTCCTTCACTTTCCTTCTTGTTTTAAAGGTTTTTCTTGCACTTCTCCTTCTTCTACACCATTCTTTATGAACATACATGAACATATCCATGAAATTTCGAGTTTGATAATGATGGTGGTAGGGTTTCACCCAAAAACAACATTCATGTTGTTTAATGGTGAAATCCAAGGACCAAAAACTATGTCAAACCCTAAAATACGAATTTTTACAAGTTTTAAAGGTTCATCTACCTTATGCATTCAAGTTTTTCATTTGAAAACATCACTATGAACAAAAATATATACATGTATGATGTACAAACCATGATGCATGTTATTAACTTCAAGTTAAAGAGCTTGATGATCAAAGTACATTGTCAATAGTGCATGTAAATGGCTTTATTCATAAAAAAATCTAGATATCCTTTTCTGGTCGAAATAAAATTTCCATAAATTCCCAGTAAGTTGATATGAGGATCTGGAAAATTCCAAGAGTTTTTATCATTTATTTAATTTAATAAAATTATTACAAGAAAACAAGGCCATAAATCATTTAAAATATTTTCTGAGGTCTATAAATCCTAGGTAACTTCGTGGATGACCCCTAAGTTAAATTATGACATCGCAATGAGTCTCATCGATTTTTTGTTACTGTTTTATATGGTTTTCAATTTTTTTAATCCAAATAAATCATAAAACCACTTTAGGTAATGTGAAAAGGCTATATAATACTTTTCACAGACCCTACTACACGTGGAATAATCATAAAAATATTTTCCGAATTTTTCATAGTGCATAACGATTTTTCTCCGATTTTTGTATTTATAATGGACTAATAATGGGAAAAATAATTCTACTCATCCAATATTCATTAAAATTTACCAGATGACCTTAGGCCATCAGTCATACTCTCCACGACAACCGTCGTGGAGAGATTCCAGATCAGCCACCAAAAGCCACGAACCCACTTCGGAGTGGGTAGAACAAACGGAAGAGAAGAATGAAGAGAGAGAGAGAGAGAGAGAGAGAGAGAGAGAGAGAAGACAGAAGCCTGAGAGTGAAGAAGAAATCCATTGGTCACCCACCTCTGTGCTCGCCACCACAAATCACGACGAAACGAGCCACCACGGACCGGCGGGATAGTATGCACGGTCGTGGTCTGTGGCCACGTCAACAACGAGCATGTTTGCTGCAGGTATATGGGAAGGGCTTATAATATATTATAACTCTAAATAAAAATTTGTATGATTTTTATATTCTGTATACTATTTTTCTTCTATTTTCTAAGATTAAATACACTTAAATCCACAAAATCGGATTATAATATATAAAAATCACCATTATTATTTTTCTCGGATTAGGTTCATTATAAATGAAGTTTACAAAAATTTTGGTAATTTAATTTAACTGTTTGGTAATTATTCACCAATTAATGATTATTCAAGAGAATAAAAACAAAGCAAAATAGAAAAACAAATTGAAAAATATCTTTTATATTTTTCCTAGCTTCTACATATATAATTACAGTGTTACAAAAAGTTTCGGAAATTTTGGAAACTTTTTATATTTATCTCCATTTTTGTTACAATAAATGCACAAAAATCATAAAATTTGGTTAACTATTTAGAAACCTATTTCTATATTTTTCCCAGCCTAAGTATATGTAATTGCAGTAATATAAAATTTTTTGGAATTTTTATCATCTGGATTCTATTTTTAACGAATTTATATTTTTATGAATGCTTAAAACATTGGAAAAATAGTTAAGCACATCAAAAACTCAAGGGAAAATTTCTAGAAGACCTATACTATATTTGGAATGAGAATGTAAAATTTGATGAATTTTGGAAACTGTTTGAAAATAATTTTGGAATTTAGGAGTTTTAAACACAATTTAATGTGTTGAAATACAATCAATTAATATTACAAAAATCTGGAAAATAATATCCAAACTTATCTTAATCACATGAGTTATAAAATATCACCATTTCAGAAAAATTGTTACCAATTTAATATAAAACCAATATCTGAACAAAAATTTGGGATTTCTCTATATGTAGAATTTAGTATATTAGCATTAGATTTTGACATGGAAACTCACTAGCATGTGTTTGATATCGTAGGATCCCGGTAGTAAGGCGTTGGTGTATTCTGAGGCACCACTTATAGCTACTTGAAACATTATGAGTATTCACAACACCCTCCTATTTTCGGTTTTTATGTTTTGGGGTCAAAAAGCATGTCCAAATTAATTATGATTGATGTATTTATATTGAATTGTATCAAAATTGATTGCTATATTTTGTTGTGTATGTGTATGTTATTGTTAAAACATGAGGCCTTATTGTCTTAATTCCCTTCCACTTTACTCCAACCATTAACTCTTTGAGCCAGTGGTCATTATGAATAGCGTTATTAGGAATTGGCAACTCCTTACTCGCCTGATTGCTTGAGTGCATGATACCATATTAATCTATGGAACGATAACCATAGATCTTGATAGGGCATCAGTCATAGGCTTGGTTGTGAACTCATTGTTTGCTCATGTACATACAAGCTTGGTATTTATTATAACAATAAACTTTGTTTCTCATTATAGCAATGTACTTGTATTTATGAAAAGTTTTATACCAAATCTTGATTTTGTAAACTTGTGAACTCACCAACTATTTTCATAGTTGACCCTTGTTTTACATGCTTTTTCAGGAAATAATTAGTAAGTGGGTATAAAGATTCATCATTATAGAGCATGTTGCATCTTGTAGAAGTTATTTTATGAAGTTAGCTTCTGAACAATGTTATTTTGGAAAAACTTCAAACTCAACTGCGTACAACCATTAGGTGATTGACTTGTCAAAATCCCGAAATGTTGACGAATACCCTCAAAGTTAAAATTGGCCAACCATCATCAAAGTCAAATTCAACACTCAAGTTCAACAGTCCATGTGGACCCAACTCATCGAGTGCATCTAGCAACTCTTCGAGTTCCTTCAGTGTTCAGAAACTGGGGAAAACCCCTTACCAACTCACCAAGTTCACTATGCATACCAAAAATAGGAAAACCATGATCCAACTCGTCAAGTTTTCACCTAACCTAACATATTCATTCCTTCCATTTGAATTTAAGGTCCCAAACTACAGATCCAGTCCCTTAGGACTGAAATACCACGTAAAGTTGAAAATTTTACGTGCATGCAAGGCCTCAAGAGGCTAGAACACTAAAACTAAGTTTCATATAAGGTTTAGAGCATGGAGAAGGGCTAAGACTAGATAAAGTGAGTATCTTTATGTCCATGGAGGCCTATAGGTGTCAAGATTTGAAACCAAATCCTCATGACAAGTTCAAATATGAGAATGACACAATTATGCACCAAAAATAACCATATACTTTCATAAGATGAGATCTAAGCAACTAAAGGTCAAGGTAGCAACTTTATACCTCAAGATGGTTGCCAAAACAGACTAGATGTCAGATCTAATGCTTCTCTATTTACTCCACCAGCTTCAAGCTCCAAATTCCTTCACAATCACACCAAAATCACTCTCCAAAGCTCTCTCACACACTCAAGAAGGTTTAAGGCTCGAACTATGGTTTCTCTGGGCTGTAAGGATGATGAGGGAGTCTACAAATGAGCCATAAGTTCTTTATATAGGGTACAAAACCCGGAAAATTAGGGTTTTCATTACCAGTGTCTACTCATCGAGTTTGGACCTTCCAACTCATTGAGTAGAGCCTATGTCCCGTATCCAAAATGATCCCTACTCGACAAGTTGTAGCCCCTAACTCGTCGAGTACTAGTCAAAAACCCTAAAATATTAAAGAAATAACTGATACCTTAAATGAGCATTACATCCACGGTGATCGCGACTTCATTCTCTGTTCCTATGACATGGCTATGTCTGGCAGCTTCTACCACTGTGTTCAACAAAACTTCAAAGGTGGGCACTTTCCAGTTACCCAACAACAAGAAGTTTAAGCTCACGAAGAAACAGTTCGCTAAAATCATGAATATTGCCAATATTGGACCTTTTTATGAGGTTACCAATGAACAAGTGCTTCACATGCTCAATGAGATGGGTCATCAACCCCTATTCACCAAACTTAGTCAATTTAAAATGTCTTCTTTACCGTGTGTCTGGAACTTTATGTTTGGAATATTTCTTCGATGAATGACAGGTCAAAGTGTGGGTTTAGATAAAGGTAGACTTGAAATTTATGTTATGGTTGTTGGCTTGTGCTATGATTTGCAAGTTGATTATGCTACTCAACTTTGGGAGGAGTTTGGTGTTAGTATCTCACATATAAATGTTGTGAACAGGGTGTCGTGAGCGAGATATTAAAGTATGATCTTGCAATATGTTTATAAAAAGGAAGGAATTCTGGTTCATGTTAATGTTCACAAAGTTGAGTTTGGGATTTATCAACATCCGAAGAATGTTGAGGATGACTTGGAGGTTTTTCCCAATGTTGCACGGATTCCACATGCGATGCTTTGCAAGGTTGATCTCATAAATCCTATCATTGTTCCTTACCTTCAAACAATAAACCCTACTGTCGAAACTGGGGTGTTGTTCCCAAAAGGTGTTGTAGGCACTCCAAAACAAAGTAAAACTTCCAAGAAATCATCCAAGGTTGAAAAAACCTAATTCTATTCACTAACCAGTGGAAACAGAAGTCATGAAGCCTATTCAAGAACCAATTGTGTCGGATGTTCAAAAGGAGGTGGTACCTTCGAAATCTGGAGTTTTAAAACGCACGAAGAGGCCAACACATAGGCCTCATCACTCACCAGAGCCAAGGATGGTTATTGAAGATGTTCCAGAGAAGTCTATATCTTTGCCCAAAGGGACTTTCATTTTTATATCAAATAGGATTCGTAAACCACAACTAACTCGTAAAGGTGTAGTTATTCGTGAAATCCCAGCTTCAGTTTCTCTAGATTCAAAGAAATGAAGAGCTCAAGATATGATGAAGAAACTCAGGTAGAAACAAAAAATCTTACAAGATCCTCTTGATGAGGTTATGGTGAAACTGATTTCTAAGATGTTGGTTCTCAGTCTCCACTTCGCAATGACACCATTGGCTTCTATTCACCTTCATCTATCCCTGAGAAGACAATTGTCATACCACCCGAAGTCTCAATTGCTGAATGCATTTCAGAGGAGGTTCGCACTTCAGGAATCCCTACAAGCATATCTAATATGGATGCAAATGTCAACCTGGATGATGGGATATCGACTCACGAAGCCCAAGGTACTTCGAATGTTAGCACTTCATATGTTCCTGTTTTCATTGTTATTTCATCCACATTCAGAACAACCACTATTGATAATTCTACTTCCTTACCACCATATATTACACATATACCTACTACGTCTATACCCACTTCGTTACAAACTTCTACTACCTCACCTACTTATCAACACATTCTCAATCAACCTATCATTTCTCTTTTCCCTTCTAATCCACCGAAGGTGAAAAATCCATTCCTGATGCTAGTCAAGATGGTGATGAGTTCATGGTCTCCTTTACTGATATGCAATTCGATCCAGAAGAGGATAATATTCTAGATCATATGCTCATGTATGGTAAGCAATTCAAGATTTTAAATCGCAAGCTCAGTTCATTACTACAGCTTCAGGTTGACTCTGGAAGACAAAATGTTGTGTTTGGGATTGAAATCGATGTTTTGCTCAAAGCTCAAGAGCATCGTTTGAAAAACAATAATGGTATAGATTGAGACGAAAAATGAAGCACATTTGAAACATCAGTCTGAGTCTTTTAATCATGAGGTCAAAGATCTGTGACCTGTTGCCAAAGAACGACGTATTCTCTTTGTCGAAGCAGTTAGGAAAGTAAAGGAGGATGTAAATTTCAAAGTTGCCGATATTCGTACTGAGATGAACAAGGAGGTGCTTACACTTGATCAACATTATTCCAATCTTCATACGAATGTTGATATAATTGTTTATGCTGTCAAGAAGGTTTTTCAGTTCTATAATTCGCTTATCATCAAGGTTGATATGAAGTCAAAGGCTGATTCTACAGTTTTTGCCAAGCTGGAAGACTTATTGGGGAGTTTGAAGGAATACTTGTCCATGTTTGAGGTTTCTTCTTCATATTGAAATTCACAATAGTCTCTTTCGAAGCTATTTATTTCCTTCGAAACCAATATTAAGGCTGAAGTTGCTCCTTTATTACGATTGTTGAATTTGTTTCCAACCGATGCCCCCCTCCCTGTGTCTCATGTGGTGCAAGGGGTAGAAAGGGGAGTTGCCATAGGCTCTTTGGAAGTTTCTGGTACTGGTTCATCAAAAGATGTTGATGGTGAAAAAGTTGTTGGGAAAGTATTTAGTACACAAATTCCAACTTCGTTTCCTACTTTATTGTCAACAACCTCAACAACTATGACTTCAAGACCTTTAACCAAGGATATTGTCATGTGTTCATCTGGTGGAGTTTTGATTTCAAAACCACCAATTTCAAAAGAAGAGAGAGGTAATAAAGGGAAAGGTATTGAGCCTTCTAAAGAAAAATAGAAGAAAGCTCAAGAGGCTAAAATCGAAAGGAGAAGGCAAATCCACAATATCATTCGTCAAAGGCAAAATGATCCTCCAGGGCTAGAGAAAGGTGATCGAATAAAGCCATTTTGTTACGAAACTATGTTAGATATAGTTTTCAATGGATTAATGCATGATTTCGATAAAGTTGCAAAAAAGAGTTATGATATTGAAAATACTGATTTCAATTAGTTAGACTTTCCTATCAATGAGATGATGTTTACCTCATTTCAATATCAAATAGTTGATAAATTCAAAGACAAGGAGGAATAGAAAAGGTTGAAGTTAAGATTTCATACAGTACTTGGACAAAGAGAAGAAGACATATGTTCCTTAGTGGAGATACTAAAAGTTCTCAACATTTTGCACGATCTTTTGTTCGAAGGGTTGTTGTAAAATTATCGATTTTATGTGGTCAGAGCCAACAATGTTGCATGTGATTTCTCAGTGGCTGATTTTCCATTGATGAACAAGAACGACCTCATCAATGTTGCAAGGATTTTAAGCTCTGTAGATGCATCGAAATTACAAATCAATAACAAGGAAGACTTCTTCATTGGATTTTCTCATATCAAGTTGTTTATAGACAACTATTATGATTGTCTAGCCTTGAACGATGTGGAGTAGGCCTTGGCAAAGGGTCGTCAGGTGAAAGTTCCTCAATCGATGTTAAAGGATTAAGTGAATTTAAAGAATTTCGATGATAGGGAAGTTGTTTTGAAGCCTTTGGGAGTGGTGTTTGTTGGGAAGAAAAAGAATAACAAGATAACAAAGTTTCTTTTTCAAGCATGTGATGTTGAGAAGTATACGAATTCCTAGTATACTAATCTTCTGGTTCGTATGAGAAATTGCAAGAAAAATAATCTAGGTGATATTGCTGAAGTTCAAAAGACTATTGCACAAGGTTGTAAAAATCGCTCAACGGTATCTCGACGGTCAACTGGTGTTTAGGGATTAATCGGACTTGTCGGGGATTAATCGTGGATTAATTGGGGACCATAGTTTATTAATTCAGTATAAAAATTAATCAAATATTAATATATCTTAAGAAAAACAAGTACTTCAAAATTAGAAAATAAGAAAATTTGTAATTTAAAATTTTAAAAAAAAAAAAATATGAATATTTTTCAAATTTTTGGAGTAAAAAAAAGTTGATTTTTGAATTTTTTTTTTAAATGTTTTTAATTTATTTTAAATCATTTTAAAATTTTTTTGACTTTTTTTTTTTTTTTTTTTTTTTTTTTTTACTTTTATTGACTTTTGATGACCGATTAATCCCGCCAAACCCAATTAATCATAAATTTCCGATTAATACCCTAATCCTTGACGGTTGGAGAACGTCAAACGATTAATTGCCAATAAATCCCGATTTCTACAACCATGCCATTGCATGGTGTACAGAGGTTCGAAGGATACTTCATCAAGTTGCAAAGTTGTTAATGACTTAAGTTCAACACGGATCACAAAGGGGGAGAATGTTGGGTTCCAATATTAGTTGTGAGGTATCGAAGTCTTTTGTAGCTTGATAGGATTTGAAGTCTGTTAGATTCGAATGTATGTATTTTGTAAGGGTAGTTTAGATTTGAAGCTTTCACGTTTATACCCTTATATACTTTTTATTAACTTCTATTATTCCTATCAAATTGGGATAGGTACTATAGATAGAGTAACTTTTGAGCGTTTGTTGCTCTTACTAAAAACCCTCTGTATCTTTTTCAGAAGTTTAATTGATCCAACAAGATTATATTTACGTCTTGTGTCCTAAATTTTTTTCATACACTGATTTATTCCTTTTGCTCGATTCATACGAAATATAACATCGGAAGACCAAGAGGTGCACCCTCAGTCCTTCTTAGCTCATCTCTCTTTTTGCCATATGTTGTGATCATATTATCCCACATCTTATTATTTAACAAGGTGACACGGGCCATAAATTTGTGGAGCCACGCGTCCAAATTTCATGGTTCCATGTCACCTTCCTTTTGGAGGAGCAGGCAGCCGACCATGCCACGTAGCAAGAAATGTTGGTGCCACGACATCAGCCCAGGTGGTTTTCTTCCAGATCTTCAGATGGCTATAACTTTTGCATACGAGCTCCATTTTTGACATTATTTATATCCCTATAATCCTCACGACGAGCTCTACAAATTTCATTAAGATTGAAACATCTAATTCTTTCCCTAACAAAATTTCATATTTAGACCGATTTAGACTGTTAAAGTACGTACAAAATTCCAAACTCCTTCATACGAACTCCATTCTCAACTGTCTTTATATCAACATGTTCATATTTATGAGATCTTCAATTTTCGTTTAGATTGTTTCGGTTAATAATCAACCGATTTGAATTTCGATTTCTGGGCCCCCACTGTTATGCTGAAACTTTGGAAAATCATAACTCCTTTCACAAAGTCAGATTTAGACTTTCTCTATATGCACGCTCATGGTTTTACGAATACTACGACTTTCATTTAGATTGCTTAGGCTAAAAAACAACCTATCTAAAATTCACTTTTCACAATACGCTGAGTCATGTCGGTTTAATCGCAAAACTTCGAAGAAGTATAACTTCTTCATACGAAGTCAGATTTAAGTGTTTTATATATCTATGGAAATCGTATCACTGTTTGCTACATATTTATGACGATTAGTTGTACTAAAGAGTGTTATATCTCTACTTCAAGTTTTATAAACGACGTTGTATATTGAATCCTATTGAAAAAGTGAAAAATGGGGTGTTACAAATCTTCCTCAGTTAGAAAGATTTAGTACCAAAAATCCTGCTACTAGAGCACCTGGATGTTATCTTATTCGAGTTATCGAGATCAACTCATGATGTATCCGACTTTGTGGCTTCGACATTTCTCATAGAACTTCGTTTTCTACCTTAGACGTATTCCTTAACTCCTCACGAAGTCTTCCAAACTGGAAACTCATCAGTCTGGACTTTCTAAATTTATATTTTACGAAAAATGCTTATCTTTAGATGTAAAATGTTGATTTGCTCTTTGACTAGGAATATTGTCGACTTGTTAAAATGCGAGTAACTAGTAAAATTTATCTGTGACGTCTTGACGAAATTCACTCTCAAGAACGTGCCTTTATAAAAGGATTATAGTATACTATTTTGACTTGGTGTCCTATGACATCTTTCTATGGTGTACCCCTTTAAATCACTTACAATCCTATATCATAGGTAGCTTATATGGCTAGTTCAGGTGTTCTAGCAACATGAAATTAACTAAAACTACTACAAGGGGTTTACTGACTTGAAAACTTTGGAACCAATGATGTAATATTGGTGACCGACTAATTATAAGGCTTGCTTATGCTTCATCCTACTAGGTTATAGCGAACACTAAGTCACTAATAGCCTTCTCTCTAGGTTCTAACTATGTTATTTGCATCGAGGTACGACTATTGTTCGAGTAATATTGCTTGCAATTGTAGCCAACTACTGAGGTTTTGATGCTTGATTACTCCTGTCATCGTCCTCCCATGATCACAAAGATCTTTGCATCCTCTTGTTGGGTTATGAGCATTCTAACACTCCTAGGTGTACATGCAACCCTAAATACCTTGGATCTATGTTTTTCTCTATTATACATGCAAATATGAATATTCCAAGGTATTATCCTAACTAGCATACAAAACATTGATTCATGAGGAATAATACAAGTTGAAAGACATACCTTTTGGTGTAGTTTGATTCCACGGAGCTCAAGACCCTAGTGCCCCAAGTGTGACACTTCAAATAGTTCACACAATACCAAATACACTTGGAATAACTTAAAGAGAAATAAACCCTTCATGAAATCGGCTAGCACTCACCATTCCTTCATGGTGCTCTCTTGGTGGATGATTTTGGGAAGAATAAGATGCTTATATAGTGTGTCACAATTAGGGTTACACCATGTAAACCCTAATTGTCATGGACTTTCATTTCCATGATCCATGGGTACCATGGAGCATCCTATGGGTTTTAGCCCAACTTGATAATCCATGGAGCATTAGCCCACTATACAAGTATGGATGATTTACACAATCAACCCATATATTTAATTAGTCTCCTTCTGATCACTTAATTAATTCCAAATTAATTCTTGATCAATACTAATTAAATAATTTTATAAATATATTAGAAGTTATAATATATTAATAAACCTTAAGTGTTATTTCCCTCATTTTAGTCTATCCAAATGCATGATGTCATGCAACCTAAATGGACCATTCCAATCGGGTCAAGTACATACCAAATATATTTATGAACTTAGACACTAATCCAACAATATCCTACTTGGATAAGTCTAAGACTATTATTGCATATGAATTCAAACCCTGACTAGCAATCGTAGCTCTTAAAAGCTGTTGTCGTAGAACTCTGAACAAATCACCGACGTGTCCATCAGATAAGGCATCATATATTCCTCTATTCTAGATATCATATGGACTGAGACATGGATTAAAATCATTCTCTCTGTCCATTTGTTGTTTCCCGATTTCCTATTTATGACAACTGACTAATTAAACAAATCACATTAGTCTTGCTTTGGCCAAGCACTTTGGGGTGTCATCATTAAATCATCGAGGGGCCTACAGATATCGCTTTTATCCCGAAGGTAAGAGGTATGGATAAACTTTGACTCATATTCCTTGTTCTACTACTTGTTGAATCATACAAAAATGAACGTTTTATAACATCGATTTACCAATGCGTTTTCGTGCAATCAATGTATAACCAACTCATATCTGTAGGTTTGAAGAATATAAGATATTATCGTCTCATGATCACTCGTGATAAAATCCATGAAGTGATTCCATTGAGTGTGGGTTGAATCCAATACTAAGAACATATGAGCACTCATGAATGTTGTAGCACCACTTGCTATGTCCCATACCTTGGACATCTACAATCCAGCTTCATGACAGTCTTGGTTCATATCTGCTTCCAACATATGACCAACTATGGATGGTTTGAATAACTTAGTCATTCAGGAAGAACGACCTAGTTATTCTGGAAGTCAAAACATGCAAAGCAAAACACAAGAATAATCGAATCCAATATGGTCTTAGAACTTATGAATATAAATAAAACACCTTTTATTTATCCTCATATTGATTACCCATCATTCATTGCATACTGTTTCAAACAGTCAACTTTATACTTGAATTAAAACAATAGTTGTCCCATGCTCCAAGCATGTACACTATGTTTTCTAAACACTAGTCATGTCATACACCAAGTATGCACTATGTTTGTCTAAACATTAGTTACGCCATACACCAAGTATGCATACTAAGTTTGTCTATGATCTTTACTTTGTGAAATAGATCGATTGAACATAATTCTAATGAGTCTCATTTCACAGTCTCAAACCTTTACCGCAAATGCAAGAATTCCAAATCCTGCCATTTACCTAAATCTGTTAGATTCTAAACTTATATGCATTGGTCCTCTTGTAATGATTATGCACAAAGTCACAAAGACTTGTCAACAGAAATTACAGAGTATTCCGATGGAGACCAACTCCATGGAACCGAAGTCTAATATTCAAAGTTCATTGCCTTTGAACATTCTTCTTGCATTAAGTTTCCTAATCTTACACATATTTAATGAATAACTTCCA